GTTTTGGCATTATCTGCTGATATATTGTTATGTGTCAATGTGTTCCCACGGAGACAAATTTAGCAAATGCAATGTAAGACAATGCCGCTGAAAGAAAACTAAATTAACATGTAATAGTCGACAGGCCAACTCGGGAAAATAACTGCCCTTTGCGAATCTTCCAGTAGCATGTCTATAATGTCATTTTCACATTCGGTGTAAAGTGTAATGGGAATTACTTTTGACATATAGGCTACGCGGAAAAAGTAATATAAAGCATTCTAGCATTTTACGACGTTCTCAAAAATCAGGATAATTATCCCTCCGGTCATCATTTGATTGAAGATCTTCATGAATTCATGGTTTTGTTCTTAATCGATGTTCGATGGACTGTAACACCTGAGAAGCATACTGTACATGATGTGCACGCGGAGGTCTCCTCTCGAACAGGTCACGCGGACGTCTCCTCTCGAACAGGTCACGCGGACTTGCGGAGTACACCGCGTGAACGCGCTCGTGCGCAAAGGATGGAGCGGGAGGGATCACTGCCCCCCCAACCCCAGCAGCCCCATTATGTCAGCCTCGCACCTGAGTGGCAGCCGGGCGACAGCAAGCTTCACAGAGCTGATTACTCCCTAATTAGCGCAGGTCCTCCGTCAGCCAGAGATGCGTCCCCGCCAGCCTCTTCATCACCACCCGGCTCCGCGTACTAATTCAAACGGGATTTCAAGTCAGTGACAGAAGAATGTACCTACTGTTCATGTTTGGGAATAACACAGGAAGAGAAAACACGCCCGTGTTTATGTTTGAGACCAGGCTTAGCGAGAGGTAGGCTACTAAATAAAAACAGCGCATTAAATGTAACACCTTCTGCACTTATGTATAAATGTTTAACCCTATTTTAACCTTTCTTTTGATTAAAAGAAAATCAGCTACAAAATATTATTTTGAATGCAACTTAATTTGTGACGATTATTTAAAAATTTTGATAATTTTGTTGAAAGTTAACGTGTATTTTTTTTATGTTGAGTGAACTCAAAACTCTGCTGCACAACTTGAAACTCCCGCTGGGGGCTATGCGGCTAGCGAAACTGTGTGGGAAACGGCTGGGACTGGATCCAGTCAGTCATGTTCCTGGGGTCCGGCCAGCCCTGATAGCGAGAGGTGTTGCTGATTGCCTTGGGACAGCCGTAAAAAGTGACAGACAAGCTTGAACCGTGGCTGTCTTGGGGACAGGAGATGGGAAATTGGCCCAATGGGACAGCAGAGAGACATGTGTTACCGTGGTATGTTTCATCTGTTGAGATTGTGCTCTAATAACCATCCCATAATGCATCATGACAATATTTACTGTTCCTCTTTGGTCCCAGTCTCTACATAATTCCGTGGCAATTTGTTTACCCAGCAGGCAGCAGTGTGGTGCAGAGCTGTCAAAGGTGACCAAGCTTTTCACACAGGAGAACTTCTGCCTCCCGTACACACCCACTTTATTTCATTCCATCTATTTATTTATTTATTGAGGGGGTTCCCCGCACGATAAATTTTGCCACTCACATTCCCTCCTCTAAATGCCACAGGATTCATGGTGATGATGGTGCTTCTTTCTTAAGATCCAGTGCAGGAGAACTGGAAGAGGGCCAGGGTCAAAACATCTGCACTGTCCTCAGTCTCCTCCTTCTAAGATGCCTTGAGATGAGAGCAGAGTTACCAGGGGAAACCAAACATTTTTACACTGAAAACTACTTTCTCCTTTTTGTGTTTAAGCCAGATAACAGACAGAAATCAACTCCCAATCCCATTATCTGGGTGTTTTAGGCTGACTTTGAGAAATCTGATTTAGTATGATTTCAGTCAGACTAACATGTTTACTTGTACTTTAAAAGTCCAGTTTTAGTCGGACTAACACAATAATTCGATTTTCTTAGTGTGAATGTAAACGTACTGAGTCATGCCTAGCCTTGTCTTTAGCCTGGGTCGGGAAAGATGTAGTCACCCTGGCTATACAGGCTCTACAGATTAATAGCTCTGTGCATTGGCACAGGAGAAGCTGAAATAGGGGCAACAGGATGAGGACTGTAAGAAAAATAACTATGAATTAAAGTATGATGAATGTTAATGAGGGGGCGGGGCTAACAGTTCACCCTTCTTTGTGAATCTAAGATGCATGAAGTGTACAGGTTTGTCTGTTCTGAATGTAGTACCTCTGGTATTAATTAAGCAAATTGCTTTATTGCCTTCTACCTCTATGTGGGTGTTTCCATTTAACATAAAACACGGAAAGAACTTTTATTTCAGTATTTAGTGAAAATCAACTTCGCTTTTATGAGTTATCTCTTTGAAAACATTTATTCATCATTAATTAAAGTACACCAGAGTAAAATCAAAGTCTCTTTTTTTTTTATCCTGTTACAGCCTTATATAGATTAAACACATGAAGCCACTGCAGCAAAACAGGCCCAGGATTATCACAGTCAGGACTGGGAACCCTGCTGGTCCGGAGCCTGTTGAGGATCTGGAGATCTTGTAACATTCGTGTGGCTGTCTGACTGCAACGTCATGGAAAAGCCCGTTCATAGATTTGGATGGAAAATGACAATTCCAAGTGTAATCCAGCTCGTCTGACTAGTGTGATCGATAACTGTGCCCGGGCGCGTAACACAGACATGACATCAGTGACGAGACTGGCACACGCATGCGCACAAGGACGTTGCGAGTGTTTCTCAATATGCACACTTCACCACAATTGTGTTCTTGTGTACCCATTTTACATCATCTTCCATGGCCAAAGACCCGTTCCAATACTCAAGAACAGAAGTACAGAGGACAGTAAAAATCCCCGGATGCCGTTCGTGCCCCACCCCAAATTATGTTCTTAAAGCTTGCACTGGTGTAAAGTGCACCTCAGTTCATACCTTGAAACTAGCTAGTTTTAAACTACTGCCACCTTCTTTGTGGGTTGCACAGCTGCTACTTAAATTACAATGTAGTTAGTAGAGACAAAAAAATGTTGTCGCACAGAATAATGTTTCTACCCTGGACGACCAATCAGTATCATTCGGTCGGCAGTATTAGGCTGGATTTTGCAAAA